ATTACTTAAATAGAAGAGGAAGAGGGGCAGTTTTGCCGTGTAGACTGGCGGTGTGTGTATGTGGGGGAGCGGGCGCAGCAGTAAGCTGCAGCACAGAAGTATAAGAGTGGATATGGGGCTTTTGGCCCGCCCCTGGGCCCACGCACAAATTGTGCCCCCCCCAGACTCAGGAGGCACCAGCCACCCTTGGCTGCAGCTGTCTGCCACTGCTTTGCGGTGCTAAGCAGCCCTGATATGCTGTTGCTTCTCATTCCCAAGCCACAGTCCCCACAGCTCTGCCGGTGCCCCTTGCTCACGACCCATAATCCCTAGCTCTGTCAGTGCCCCTCACTCCCAACCCACAGCCCTCTGACCCTGCTGGTGCCCTTCACTACTGACCTGCTGTCCCCTGCCCCCAGACCAAAGCCCCGCAGTGTGCGAGAAGGGGGCCGATGTGGGCACAGGTGATGCACTGGGTATGGGGGAGGGCATGTGCTTCCCCCTTGCCATCCCTGCAGATTTGTGCCCAGTTGGGCACAGGTGCAGCCTGGCTGGACCAGCTCCAGGCAAGAGTTGCCTCTGTGGCCTAGGGAGCAGAACCTGGAGCAGGAGGGAGTGCCATGCCATCATGGCTGTCAAGGTGAGGTGAGGTGGCATGGAGCTGCCAGGAGGGCAAGGGGATCCTCAGCTTGGCAGCCATGGTGGTGCAGTGCTCCCTCCCACACTGGGTCCTGTCCACTGGGTTGTGGAGGTGGCTCCTGCCCAGAGCTGGTCTGGCCAGGCTGCAGTCCTTCACCCTGCTGTGGGCACAGAGATCTGGGGAGGGGGTGCCCCTCCCTGCTCCTCCCAACGCGTTACCTGTGCTCCCCCAGCATTGCCTGTGGCCCCCCCATTCCTCCACCCCCACAGACTTACCTGGAAGGAACTGCCGGAACTGCTCTGCGCTACCCTGCCTGACTGCCAAGTGCATGTGCGCATGCACACATGCATGTGGTGCCCCTGCCCCCTCAAGCTCCAAGCAGCCCCTTGCAGGCTGGAACTCTGCTAGCCTGCCATTTCTTGAGTTTTGAGGGGAAACACGCCATTTCTTGAGTTTTTCTCCTTTAAAGGAGAACATCTGCGGTTTTCCACAGCAAAATGAAAAACCCAGATCCCTGGTGATAACTTTTAAAAATATTTTGGAATTCAATACTTCTGTTTAGAAGCTGTGCCAGAAACTGTGGATGAGCACTCATGACACTTGTTTGAAATGGCTCAAATAACACAAATGTAGATGTGGAGGGAAAAGCTCAAGGATTCTTATATTTATACAGTACAACTGGCATAGTTACACTGAACTGTTTTTGCTTAAATTGGGTTTAAACTAGGTCACCTGAAAAAGTTTCATTTTCTACTACATAAAATGCAGGCAAAAGTTTAATAAACATACCTCAGGAACAGTAGCTTCCATTAGAGATAGAGCAGGAGGCATGCATCCACCATCCTGTGAAATTTCTACTGGCTGATAAACAACTTCAGATGGATGCAGATAAAAGAATGAGGCTGACGAGGCAGGAGACTGAAATAAAACAAGTTATTTAACAAAATTCCATGATTTACACATTAGATTTATTGACAAGGTTTAATTTAGGTTACTGAACTATGTATGCCATAGGCAAAAAGCGACAAATTAAAAGGTTTAAAGAAACAATGAAAACTAACATTTAGGCAACTAAATGTTTCAAGTTTTTAGACATTTAACTTGCTTCTGAGTGCCCTTCCCATTTTTCCTTGTCATAGTCATATTTTATTTATTGTAAAAGTGTTTCTTTTCTGCTATATGAAAGATGTGCATAAACAAAAAAGGAAGCAACTAATGGACTGATTATACATGGTAAATAATTAGATTAATTTTACTAAAAGTACTGTCAAAAGTATGTGATCAACAAATGAAAAAGGGGAAATAGTTTTTCCTTTAATTACTCAATTTTATTTATCTTGCATGCTACAGCAAGACTATCGAGTAAATAGTTTTCAAACGCAAGTGCGAACTTTTAACTTGATGTCATTGTAACACAGGGGTGTCAAACATCTTGTATACAGGCCAGATCTGGGTCACAGAGCAGCTCACTCTGGCCTATGGGTCTCCTTGTGGGCCAGGAAATTTGGCAGTACAGCTAGCAGGGGGCAGGGCCTGCTGCCAAATTCCGGGCTACACACTCTATTGACCATGGCCTTCAGCAGCGAAAGGACAGCAAAGGCTGTGCTGACATAACCTTGATTACCCTGCAGCTGTTTGGCCCACAGTCTCTGGCCCCACTGCTTGCGCTGCCTCTGATGCTGGCCCTGCAGATCCAGCCTGCAAAAAGCTCCATCGTTTAGATCTGGTCTGGGGTAAATTTGAGACTGCTGTACCATGTTAATCCCAGATATGGTTTATAAGTTTTCTAAATATAATAAAAGTGAACTACTGGTGCTTTTAAAAAATGTAAATAAAATATAAAAAGTTAAGACTCCATAAACACAATACACATATAAAATAACATTATAAATACATTATAAAAGTAAATTGAAAGTTTTGTTTTCTTTTTTTAACTGCAAAAACAAATGGAGTTCTTAGTTTATCCTGTGGATATATGTGAAAGCAGAAGAGAGGGTTTTGTGTATTTGTAATATATCATGACTTCCTACAACAGAAACATAAAATCCTGAAATACAGTTGTGGCATTTATTCAAAAGATAAAATAATTTTCAAAACATTAAAAAACATTCATTTATAATATCTAGGTGTTTATGTTTATTTAGGTTCATGCACTGTTAATGTTTTATGGTATTACAAAGGTGTTGATAAAGAGTTAAGGCTCTATTTCCTATCTGGCTTCATATCTCAACAACAAATTTATAGACCCATTCACAATATGTAATATAATGTAATAAAAAAAATAATTCTAACTTTCTGATGTAAAAAGAGTACTAATCTGTAGATACAGATTAACCATGTTGCTTAGTGTATAAGGCACTGGGTAAACTTATGGAGCTAAACTAAATGTTCATCCTTATAAATCCTTAAAAACAAGTAAGTTTGTAGAACTGTGTATGAAGTTAGAATTGGTCCAGGCCATAAAAACTTGCAGATTAAGTCCCTCAGCCTGCACGAACAACTAGCACAAACCTCTGTGCCTATGCTGAAATCTATGCTATAGTACACAGTTCAAAAGTCAGGGCTACTTGATCCCAACAAAAGATCAGGCCTGAAAGAGATTTTTATATTTACTGGTTTATGAAGTAACAAAACCATAAACTGTTTATAGTATAAAATAAATTCTTTAAGCACATCTTACACTTCTCAAAATGAACTCAATTCAGGTAGCTTTCAATACTGCTTAGAAGAGCAAGAACATTACAAAATTAAGTCCTATTCCAGAATGCTCATGCTCCCTGAAGAGCGTATAGTAACATGGTCAGCTGTTCCAGCATTGCCAGTTCGTCTTTGCATGAAATAGTTCCATCTTGAAAAAGGAGCTTCTGTCCTGTAGAACAATCCTTAAAAGGGTATCTAAAATATGTCTGGTCAGATAAAAAGTGGCATTGTTCAGTTTCCACTTATTGGTGTATTTGTTTTTTGCTTGGCAAACTGGTTACTGTGTTCAATGAACCTTTGATACGAACAGTTTTCATTGAAAAGCTTCTCCGCTATTCCATAGAGAAAAGTTCCTTGGGAGAATAGGACTTTATTTGCCCCTTCTGATTTTATGACATTACTGTAATATTACTGGTAAACTCTGAAAGTCTGGATGTGACATTTCATGGTATACAAGTGCCTTCTCCGACTATAAGGCCCCCTCTACACGTGCAGATAAAGGTGTGATGGGATCTAATGTAGGGGTAGGCAACATGTCAGAGCATGGCAAGTGAAGGCATTTTGCTTGGCGCACACACCTCAGGGAAGGGACCAGGGCTGCACTGCCACAACAAGGATCAGGCCCCTCACATCTCCCCTGCTGTATGCTGCTGGCACACCATCTTACAAGTTAAGGTTGCAGGCATTTTTGGCACTCTGCCCAAAACATTGGCAACCCCTGATCTAATTTATGATCCATCGTCTCTTGCCAAACCACACGTGTATGTACAATCATCTCTTGCCAAGCCACACGTGTATGGCAGAAAGCATGATTGTGGGTTCGTGCATTAGATCCAATTGCATCTTACTGCTGGTGTAGGGGGCTTCCAGCCACTATACCTACAAGCTAACAGGGCTTGGATAAAAATCCCCAAAAGAAGAGTAGGAACAGAAAAAGAAACCATGCTTTCTAAGGAAATGAAGTCATTTTAGCAGCAGAAATGTAAGAACTAGAGAGATGTTGTCTCTCCTTAAGATCTTGGAAAATCCAGGGTTCAAAGAGATAGTGAAGATGTGGATGTGAATGGTGTTTAGCAGCATGTATGCTTTTCATTGATTTAGAAGTCTCTAGGGCAGGGGTGTCAAACCCATCTAGCCCCATGGGCCAGAAGAGTGTCACAGGGCTGGACTTATGGGCCAGATCAGGCCCATAGACCCTGCCTCCACATACTGGATTCAGTGCTCACTAAGGTTGGTCCAAGACTGTGCCACACATGGTGCTTGCTCCAACCAGTCCAGGATTGCACTGTATGCAGCACCTAATCCAGAACCATGCCTCATGGAACCCATTCCAGCTGGTCGGGGAACCATGTTGCATGCGATGCCTGCCCCAGACTGGCCAGGGTAGATGCTGCATGGTGCGTGTGTTCCAAATTAGCTGGAGTGGGCACTGCATACAGTTTGCATCCCAGACCATCAGAGTGGGCACTGCATGCAGTGTACTTCTGAAATGGCTAGAGCAGGCACTGGCAAGTGCTAGATCCA